GGGGGGGGGGGGGGGGGCGCCTAGTAGTAGTAGTAGTAGTAGTAGTAGTAGTAGGAGTAGTAGTAGTAGTAGTAGTAGTAGTAGTAGTAGTAGTGGTGGTAGCGCTAGTGGTCGTGGTAGTGGTAGTAGCAGAAGCAGTAGCAGTAGTAATAGCAGTAGGAGTAGAAGTAGAAGTAGAAGTAGAAGTAGAAGTAGTAGTAGTAGTAGTAGTAGTAGTAGTGGTAGTGGTAGTGGTAGTGGTTGTGGTTGTGGTTGTGGTTGTGGTTGTGGTAGTAGTAGTACTACTAGTAGTACTGGTAGTACTGGTAGTACTAGTAGTACTAGTAGTACAAGTAGCAGTGGCAGTGGCAGTGGCAGTGGCAGTGGCAGTGGCAGTGGCAGTGGTAGTGGTAGTGGTGGTGATGGTAGCAGCAGTTGTAGTAGCAGCAGCCGCGGCCGCAGCCGCAGCAGTGATGCTTCGAGAGACCGGAAGAGCAATCAGAGCACACGGCAGTCAAGAGGGAGTGTTCTCAGTTGATTGCACGGTTTCTTCTGGCAGCTTCACATGATTTGCTACTCCCGAAGCATGGACGACATCTGCGTGGTGAGCGTACGACGACGCCGACGGCGACGACTCTTGTGGCTGCTGTAGCATCGCAGCGACCACTGCACTTATGATGCTGCTGATATCTGCTGACGAATATCATTACCAGAAGGTGTTCTATTCGTAGTGGCGTTGCGTGTATTTTCGTTGTTGTTGTTCATGTGGCAGAGTGTTCCGGATCACACGGCGGCTGAAGCGTCTGAAGTCGCCAACGCAATTCTTCAATCACTCACTCAATCCCGAAATTGGTGCTTTCGGCCTTCAGGGTGCCCCAAGCTCTCGCAGCCCGCCTGCACCTCAAGATCGTAAGTCTTTATCGTCAGGTTCCGGCCGAAGACGATAACCAAAAGAAGACCCGCCAGCCCACCTGCACTTCACAAGGATTGAGTTGGCGAAGGCTCCGAGACTTTGGGACAGATCTTCAGATTCATATAGTTCCGATCACAATTCGACTACAGCCCACATCAAGTCTACAGAATCGAGGGCATTGTGTGGATCCGACAGTTGACAAGTTACAGAGTCATGAGCCATGAAAACCCTTCAAGGTAGCACCTCCCATGTGTGCGGAGTAGCTGATCTCATCTTGAGGGTTGAAGAGGTAGAGCATGACCTCGCAGTGGATGGCTGCGCACGGGAATACGTTCAAACGACAGCACTGCGGCAATCTCCTCGCAGCCCAATCATAACACACAGACCTCTCCCCTTATAGAGGTTTATTGTTGGGAGGGTGAGGTGTGCTGCGCTGAACATCTGCGTCCTTCAACCCAACACAAGTGTAATAGTACCTTCCTGTGGTTTTTTGTGCCTTGTGGATGCTTCAAAACTGCCCGTGCCTCGACCAGCACAAGCAGGAAGATGAAAGCCAGCCTGTCAGCGAAGAAGTATTCTCTGGCTCAGGAAGGGGTTCTGCACGCTGTCCTTCACACCAGCAACTCCAAAGCACAAAGCCGGCCACGGTTGGTGGACTTGAAGTGAAAAGCCAAGGCTTACAGCTTACAGCTCCTAGAATGCCGTAGAATCTGCGGCTGTTCGACAACATGCTGCCAATCGCGGGCACTGGCACCCGGATGCTTTCAAGAATTCTAGAGTCGGTGCCGGGTGGCCGGTACGGAGCTGACTTCCGCTCCCAGTTCAGGAGGACATCCCCAAGCTGCATGCCCAACAAGGCGTAAGCGCCCCCGGACATCCCAACAACCTCGCTGCTTGGCGTGGCTTCGGGTTTTGGACTCCGAGCGGCTTGGCAAGCTCAGCCCCCTGCCCGCGTATGGCTGTCGAAGACGCAGACTGCACCAGCACCGCCTGTGGCACTCAGGTATACTCAAGTTACCTACCAGCCCACGGCAACGACGCTCGATGGAGCTCTGCAGCTCGAGGGTGGGCGAATCCGGCTGAAATGAAATCGAAGCAGCCTACCTTGTTCTGCCCATCCTCCAATTTGGAACACACGGGATACGGCGGGGGCCTAGCACACCGATCTCGAACATCCACATCAGCCGCAGGCTGCCGTGAAAGCCCTGGCCACTGGTCGCTCAAGGAGGCCAGGACATCCCAAAATTGCAGACGTTTCTGAAGACCCGCGGGTCATGATCTTGATCCCAGAACTTGGGGGTCATGTCCTTTGAGGCTCGCCGACCTCGAGGTTGATACCGCACAGGACCAGCAAGAGAACCTCGGCAGGCAGGAGAACTGAAAGCTTACCGATCTCACGCTTTCCATCTCCTGAGCCGAACAGAGCAACTCAGAAATTCAAGCCCCAACTCCCCCAAAAACGCAACTGCAATCGCTGACATGGACCCATGGGGTGCAGGGGCAGCCCTGCACGATTTCTGTCCTGTGCTGCGGGGGGTCCCGATGCGGCGCACGTCTCGCTGTCAGTCTCCATTCAGAGTCGGGATACCTCATGTGAGCCCGGCAAAGCGGGGTGGAAAAGCTCTGCCAGAAGAGACTCCTGCAAGTGAGCAGTTGGATCTGCTTTCCCAGGGGCCTGTCGCCTGTCAAACCTCTCGGACACTCGCAAGGCATAGGCAAAAAAGTCGCCGTCGGTGATGTCCTCGCCTTCGGTCGCCTCATCTCTTTCCGCCTGGCTCTTGGCAAGCTCGAGAGCGTCGAGGGCGTCTGGCTCATGAGCAGGGAGGCCAGCAGAAGACCTCATGGAATGGAAAAGGCTTCTGGTGGCCTCTTCGGCACTTCCAAAGGAGGCCAGAGAGGGATCCGTGGTCGGCGGAATGGAACGCGACGATGGCAGCGATTGCAGTGCTGCTGGAGCCGTGTCCCACATCTCCCTTGCACGTCCGATGCGACGGGGGCTGACTGCCTCCCGGTCCCGGTCCCGTCGCGGACTTCGCGCGCAGGAGTGCGGGGATCGCTTCCCCACAGTTGCAAAAAGCTGGGCCAGCTCCAGATCCTCAGAATCCACCTCGCCCTCCTCAAGGACCTTCTTCTTTGCCGTCCTAGGCTTCCGGCTGCGGCGCCGACCTCGAGAGTCGGAAGAGCGGGCGGAGAGGCCCTGGAAGGGTTCCTCCTTATCCGAGCCGCTCTTGCTTTCCCGGTAGGACGATCTCCCAGCGGTGGGCCACAGTGAGATGCCAAGTCCAAAGTCGTCTGTTTGCGCCCAGGGAGCGGCAAGAGGCCGCAGACTCTCGATGTCCAGATCAGCGGACAACTGGCCGCCTGAACCGTCTGGGCCCCGGCTGTCGAAGGTTGTGATAGGCCCGCCGAGTGCCGAGAGCTTGGACGTGACGGTCTTCATCCCGTCCTTCCGCATCTCGGACGCGAGCTTCCGTGGCAAATGAAGCGTCTGCGCCAGAGCTAGCACACTCAGCAGCTCCAACACAAACAGCATCCATCCGGCAGCAAGCGCCTGCTGCTCAAGAGTACTAAACGTGCAGAAAGCCTGATGCAGCTCGTCGGGAGTGGTGATCTCGACACCGTACTTCCCATCAAACGTGTGGCCAATAAAGCACAGGGACTTGAACACGTCCCAGTCAGCCGGGAGGAGCACGATCACACAGACAACAATATTCAGCATTCCCGCAGGGATGGCTGCCCACAGCAATACCTGGAATACCCTGAGGGGACACTCGCGTCTTCGGGCCACCCGTAGCACCATTCCAGGAAGTGACAGGGGCATAGCGATCCAGGGAAGCAGCCCAAGAGCACCTGACGTGGCCCCATGGCCCTCATTTCTAGATTGTAAGAACGATACTCAACCTCGGCATGCATTCTGCTTCCCGCTCCCAGTCTCCAGACCCCATGGACTAGGCGCACAGAAAGCGACACTACACCTCATAACTCAATGCCATGCTGGGTGGTTGTTGCAGCGTTCCGAGGCACGGCTGAGGCTGTGCCGAAAGTGGACAAGGTCTGTTGGCTCGTGGCAGGCCGAGCAGAGCGCGTCGGAGGTTAGGGCGCCCCTCTTCTTTCCTCCGCGGCCGAGTGGATCTGTGCCCACGTCGCAGGCGCAGAAGCGCATCAGGCCAGATGCCCCCAACTCCAGGGTGACGTTTGGCATCACGCCCTCCTCCGCAAATACCTCCATATCCGAGACAGCCATAGAGAGGACCAGCATCCAAACACTGCACGCCAGCTTTGCCAGGCCCGCTGCGCCGGTGAAGAGCAGCGTGCGGCTCCCAGCACTGGCCACGCGGGGAACTCCCGGAAACGGCGAGGCGACTGGAAGCTCTTCCATGGCTACAAAGGGGATCAATCTACCGATCTCTCGAGGCAGGGACCCTGAGATGGCGTCATGAGTCTGCTCGCCACAAGCGAAGGGTCCGAGCAGCAAGGCCACGGGGTCGCAAAAAGCAACAACAAACCTTTCTTCGCAACTTGAATGCTCCTCTCTTGAAAGTGGAGAATTTTCGGGACATGCTTGAGACCACCCGATATATTGCACGACGCATCGGAAGCGGAACTCTCGGGCAACGGCGTTGCCGATCATGTGGGAGAAGGAGCTGTGTGAGTACTGATATGTTATCCTCGGCAACAAGCTTCGTGCTTCGAGGAAAATGACAACTACAGAGCCTTAGGCAATGTGCAGCCTTACAGCCTTAGCCCTTCTGCGACATGATTGAAACCACCTCAGAGTGGCCGGTGCACACGGTGGGGTGGCACCTACTGCGGCCCAGTTGCGCACGCCACAACTGCCAGCGAAAGTCCTGTGCATGGCGAAGGATGGCCAGATCGGCGATTGGGACAACCCCCAACTTCCGACAGGCCTGACAGGCAGCCTCACCTGTCTTCATCACCACATTGGTCAAAGCCAGGTCGGTCTGCCCAGGAAAGAAAGTTTCCAGGCCCGCGAGGCTAATTCCGGATGTGGTTGAGAGCCTTGGTTGCCAGGGCTGGCAACGCTCGAAACATCGTCAGCTCTGCATGCAGCTGCGCAGCACCACGTAGCCGAGAAAGATTACCAGGGACCTCATGGATGCTTGTGTGCGCAAGTCGGTTCGATGGCACTTGAAGCATCGACTTTCATCTGACGAGCAGTCTAGGTGGGTGGCTGGATCAAAGTGAACATCGGAAAGCTCTGCATGACGAAGAACTCCGTGTCCTTCTCCGAGCCGTTCACATCCCGTAGCTTTGTGTCTAATGAAAGTGTCTGGTGCCCAAGAACCCGCAATGCATAAAATCCGGGAGCCCCAGGTGCTGACCTGAACCCGCAAGCACAGCATACAAAGAGATACCCTGTCACTTTTCGGGGCTTCGGTTCCTCCTCGTGCACCTGACCCTGGATCATGTCAGCCAGGCCCTCTTGGTCCTCCGCACTGTAGTTCTTATGGCTAGGCTACAATAACATATTCTTGTGTTTGGCTCTTCTTGTATTCTGGCTACACTGATGTCTTATTGACGTTACTCTTGTTGCTGGGTCTGATTCCCGTACTGTGCTCCTGTTGTGACTTCGCAGTTTGCATACATACATGACACACATATACACACCAGCATATACATACATAACAGTACTACACACAGATACATACACGTGTACATGTACATGTACATAATATACGCACACATACATACATACATTCATTCATTCATACGCAAACGCGCGAGCACACTCACTCGCACACACTTACACACACACACACATGCATGCATGCATGTATGTAGTCACTGTGTTCTACTTCTCGGCTTTGCTGCTTTTGTCAGGCAGACCATGTTCACGGCTCTTGTCGTCTTGCATTCAACTTGCTCTTAGTGTTCAAAACCGTCTTTGTTCTTGAAGGTCTGGACTCCAAAGCCCTTTGGCCCGGTCAGCAGACAGTTATGGAAGTGTCTGGGTCACATCGGATCTGCAGGGCTCTTGACTTCTTCAAACCAGCAGCGACAATGACCAACAACAACATTCCAACAATTACAACCTCAGTTGCCGAAGTTCCGCTGAAGCGCATCCCAAACTAAAGGTTCTGCAACGGAGAGTCCTCCTCCGGCACCTGCACAGTGCACCAATACCCACTGCAGCTTGTTCGGAATATGCATCCCGTTTTTGGGGTGGGAGTGAGTTCGAGCAAAGGTTTGCTCCCTCGGCAATCTACGCAAAGCCCTCGAAGTGGCACTTCTTGCCGCTGTGGCACTGTCTGACCTTCCATGTCGAGCTGCCTTAGGCCGTGGCAAGTGCCGGCAGTCCCAAAGTTTCCCTTTATCCGCTACGTCCCGATGCCTGGCAAATACTTGAGCTCTTAAATTGCCTTGCTTGCAGACCCTTCCGGGCACTAGCTTCAGACAATCTGCATCTGCTGCGCAGGCGTCAGGTCACGGTTGTCCTTCCCAGGACTTGTCATCAGCCTCTCCTCTGCACCCGGAGCCTTTGTCACGAGAGAAGCAGCGGCACCCTGTCCTTGCGCTTGGGGCGCTTGATGGGAGGACCACCCCATCCTGTGCCTTTCAACCTGCTCTTGGCCAAGCATGCACCAGGAGGGGAAAGAGAAGAGCTGGGAGTGGACTTGGATGGTGTTGTTTTGACAGCAGCTCGATCTACTAACTCATGCCCCTCAAGAGATCCTGTCATATAACATGGTCCTATGCACTAGAGTCACTAGAGACAGCTTCTTATGTATGGACGCACAGAGACAGACAGACAGACAGACAGACAGACAGACAGACAGACAGACCGACCGACCGACCGACAGACAGACAGACAGACCGACGGACAGACGGACAGACAGACAGACAGACAGACAGACAGACCGACCGACCGACCGACAGACAGACAGACAGACGACAGACAGACGCACATACACACGCAGCGAGGCAGACAGACAGAAAGATAGATAAATACATAGATAGGTGGGAAACAAATGGATAGAGACACATGTCTCTGTGTATCTCTCCGCCTCTCGGGTTCGCCTCTCTTTCTTTCTCATGCTGAACCGGCTAGCTCGAGGTCTCTCCACCTCTCAACCCCACTTAAGCTGCCTCCGTCGCTTCAAGACTTCAAGCTCTTGGTGGGAGATGCAGCAATAATGCAGGCCAGCGAGACTCTCGTTCTGCGTAGTTCCGATAGTCCGCGACCCTGGGGAAAACAAAAACTTAGTTGGGATTGGGGCTTGGTGCTTGGTGCATGCGCCAACGGAGACAACCTGCTGCCCACCCTTCCCTGTCACACAGGAAGCTTCGTAGCTGAGAGCCGCGGCTTGGTGGAGCTAACCTTTGGCTCCTTTGCAAAGCGAGTTCAAGCACGTCGAAATCGACTCAAGACATGGTCCCATGCGGCTTAGGCCGGCGTTCTGCATGCAGCATCAAGGCAAGTAGGCAAGCTCGATGCTTGATCTGAAACTCACCCGAGACTCCAGAGTCTTAGCCTTGGGATACCTGAGGGCCAGACTCGGATGCTCTTTCGGCCCGTCCTGGGGTCCTTGACCTGGGGTTGCCACGATCGGATCGGACATCCTAGCATCCAGAGGCCTCGACTTGAGATCTGAGCAAGCTCTTCAAGCTACGTAAGCTTGCGGGTCTCAACAAAACGGAGTCTCTCAGCTTCTCTAGAGCCAAGCAGCAACTTGAAACTTGGCCCTGCGAACTTCGGACTTGGGCGGCTGCGTGGCCTCACGGACGGGGATCCGGCAGCACTCCGAGACTCGAAAGAACGAATGAATTCGAAAGCAGGACAGGGACTTGAAGCCTGAAACATTCTGCGTTCCTTCCTGTGGCCCAAGGTAGCTACCGCAGCCACTGCGGCATGTTCGCTCTGCCAGAGGGCGGCAAGTATGCCTTAGGCTGACCTGCATCTTCGTTCTCGGACCAGTCGTGGCAATCCATGTGTTTCTCAGTCTGGTGGCATCAAGACTACCTCTGCGTGGGGGCAATCCTCGATCGAGCCTTTAGTTTTTCATATCTGGTCGGTTCAAGGAACTTGGGAACCCAAACGCCCTGCACCTTGCCCAGCACCGCGGCTTGCTCCGCCTCGCAACTTGGACCCACGGTCTAAGGGGCTGTGACAACCAAAGGCTCCCAACAGAGACAACGCTGGACAGCCCTTCTCAAAATGAAAGAGCTTCGTCAATCTTTCGACGTTCCAAAATGTGCTTTGAAGGTTGAGAATCAGGAACTTTAAACTGCACCGTCGACCCAACACCATGACACCGTTTAACAATTTGGCCTGTGCATAGCCCCGAAAGGTTTGGGATCGCACTGACAAAATAGCCGCGTAGGCCCTAGGCTGCTTGCACACCCTCGACCGGCCTCTCGCGGCCGCGGTCTGACAGCCTGGAGTTCCTCCTCCTCCTGGGAGGCAGGAGTTTCGTGCTCGTGCTCGTAGCTGAAACTCTTCAGAAACTGTCGAGGCTCCTTGTGATGCAGGCGCACGGCGCCGAACCAGTCGCTGAAGAAGTCTGCGAGTTCCTCGCGTGCCGAAGCTGCGGCCTGCTGTCAAACAAGCAGAGACATCCAGTAGGATGAATCATGATCATGCTCTGACATACATGTTAGCCACTGTCAGTAATGCTATGGCCAAGAAGGGCTCCACAGCCACGAGCATCATCAACATTGTGACTAACATGAACATGATCATTGTATATCATTGTCGTCACCATCGACATCACTATCACCATTCTCGGCTGCAGATTTCCTCCAAGATTTTCTCCGAAAGCCCCAACCATGCGAGCTGTCTTCTGCTTAGCACGTGCCTTCCGGAGCTTCGACTCGGACGCGCGCGGGGCATCGCTGCCCGTCGCCTCAGCGTGGTGACGATGAATCTGAGCCTTTCGGCATCTCAAGCGAGCACGGTGCACACATACCCACCAACTCAGGGCAATACATCCCCTGACTCAAGGGCCTCGACCGCCGCAGCCTGAAGGCCTCCCAACCAACTCTTACGATGAAGAGCAGTCGGTCTAAGGGCTCCCATTCGTTCGTCAGCTTCTTGAGGATCACAGACGCAACCTCCGGGCCTGGCCTAGTGACCCCGTCGTCGCGGCATGGACCAGAGCCTGTGTGGATGCTTGCAGCCAGAGATCCGGGATCGGTTCTTGATAAAATTCACGCATGTCGCCGAATGAAGACAATCACTGTGGGGCCGGGGCTGCTTGGCCTTGACCGGGCGGAGCTGGTCCTTGGCTGCAGATAGGGCCCCTAAACTCCCAAACCTGAAGCCCTGAGCCGTTCTTGCTCTCGGAGGCTCTGCATCCCGCTGATACCGCCATATTCCGCCGAGCGTCGAGTTGGGCTCGTGTTGGCCCGCCGCAACGCCTCAGTTTGCACCCACAGCCCGTGGCCCGAACCTTCAGACAACGCTAAGGTTGGAACAGCACCACCAGGGAGCCCTCAGCTGTAGACTCGTAGACGGTGGCATCCCCAACAAAAAGAAGTCTGCGCGGTTGAAAAAGTACTTTAAGTGCTGCCGGCACGCGGTCTTCTTCTCGCTTCAAGCTTCGCGAGGAGGCATCACTCCTGCCGGCCACTGGTGCGAGGCTAGTGCTAGGTGTCAGGTCCTAAGGGCACTCAGCCTCGCCAGGTCTTTTACCGTCGAGCTCGGCGGTAGGTATAGGCCAGCAGACTCGGCCATGGCAGCAAACTTCCATTTGTACTGTGTGTCGCAATGAAGTGCTCTTGACTGACCTCGTGAAAGGGGTCAGCGGGGACTGGTGTGTGGCTAGTGGCCGGGAGACTGAACTGAAGCCAGCTATTTCGGAACGTCCTTCCCGACTTCGATTTCATGAGCTGCACTTGCAGCTAGCAGCTGAAATGCCAAGAGGAAAAACGCCGCATCAGCGCACGAGACATGAATGTCACTTGCCAAGCGGTTCGCTTGCTCTTGTGACTCTTGTGCAAAGCTGAAGGCGATCGTGATCGGGCTCGCGCTTTAGCAGTGCATGTCCGTCTGCAGGCTTGTGGTCGTCTGAAACCCGTGCTGAATTGTCCTGAATTAGTAAGCCCCGGTTTTTCAAAAAGCCCAGGAACTGTCGCCCTTGCTTTTTGCCTGGGCGCATCAAGCACTCCTCTCGCCAGCATTCGGGAAGCCTGACAGGCAAAGAAACTTTGAAGGACCTCCACGATAGTCGTGGAAACGTGGCTTTAGCTGCGGGTTAAAAATCGCTGGCTTGTAGCCTCGAACCTCCGAGATCTAGAAAAGACAGGGCCTGTTTAGGGCAGGGATTCTGGGCGTCAGCGAAGCCGAAGCCTTGCCTGGGCCTGGGCCCTGACGATGCGCTTGGCTAAGGGCTCGGAGGTTTGCCAAGCCGGCCTTGCATGAGCCGACACGCATGCCCTTCCTAGGACTTCCTCCGTATTCAAAGAATTCCGTTCGTGGGAGGGTTGGGTATCCAGGACATGCAGGCTTCGTTGTGCCTGAAGCTGCTTCCAGGAGGGCGCCACGGCCCGTTCAAGGGCCTCAAACTCAACAAGCATGCAGTACCACGAACAGCGTTTGCAATGTTAAAAAAATCGGGAAAGAATCGTGACAACAAACATACTGCCGGTAGTTTGCATTGCCCTGCCAATCATACTGATGACAATCATCATGCTCCCCAACAGAGATAGTCCCGATGTTCTGAATAACAAGTGGATTCTGAAGCTAATGGTCTTGTTCCTCATAAGTCTAACGACCGTCGTAGTCATAACACTTCGGATCATTGACGAAGATAGCCACAGTGATGACTGTAATGGAACAGAGAATCATCATCCTAGCCTCAATGACAACTGGAGCCATAAACATCATCATCCTGAACCTACATCATTGTCATTGTCATCATCACCGTCGCCTTCGCTATCATCAACAACAGCAAGTACTACCACAGCAACGTCGCCATGGTCATCGCAATCCTGATCTTCAGCATCATCACCATCACCATCACCACCACCACCACCACCGTCGTCATCGTCGTCGTCACAGTCATCCTCGTCGTTTTCGCCAGCCTCGCCACTAGCATCGTCATCAGCAGCGTCGGCATCGTCATGATCGTCCTCGGTGTCGTCAGGGCGCATGGCGTCCTCATCCTGATCACCCTCACCATCGTCATCCTGACCTATCCTCATCATCTCTTCAAGGAGTTCAGGTGACAGAAAGCCTGGATCCGATGTTAGCAGCAAAGATGATCGTGCAAGAACATGTTTCAGAACAGTTCAAGAACCCCTTTTCGCCAGATTCGCAAAGGACTCACGGCAAACTTCCTTTTGGCTGCTTCAAGTTGGGTGGGCCTTTACCTGCGCTCGCAGACTCTCGAGGTGGCGAGTGGCCTGGACTCATGCAGAGGGAGCTCTGTACAGGGATAAAAATGCAACTACTGCAGCAATGGCATGCGTCATACAGAAACACGTTCTTCCGGTCTCCACTCGATGCACTTAAGATCAGAGACAGTATGACAACATGAGACGTGTGCATGATCATCGCTTTCGAAAAAGGCAAATGCAAGGATGTCAAGTAGATCGCTTGACATCTGCTCCATGTCACTTGGTATTGTGTATCAACTTCTGACATGTCAATGCTTCAACAACTGTACTTCTGTTCACCGTGGTACTCCAGCATTATTTGCTGGCATAGCACAGCAACTGTTTCGCATGAAATCCACTACAGCCCTGATAATTCAAGTGCCGCAAGTCCTCCTTAAGCTTCGTCTCGAGATCCTCGTGCCTGACGGTGTTGCATCGGTGCAAGACTTCAGAATCAGCGTCCTGCTCCGTCTGGAAACCGCATCGATACTTGCGCCGCAATGCTTAGAGCGTGAAAACACTTCACCTTCTTCCCAGAACGGGCATGGCTCGGCCTCCTCTTGCCGGCACGGCGGCATCGAGGCCTGAAAAGCATAGGCAAGCGCCGGCTTGGCATGCTCTCGGATCCGTCGATGGCACAGGGTTGATAGCGTTTTTGTCCTCCCTGTGGGGTCAACATCAATCTCCCGTTCACCCGCACTGCATTGTAATGTCCATCCCTGAGGGCGCTACACCCCAACCTGCACCGGACCACCAAGTAACCAGTGGCATTCGGAAGAAACGGAGCATGCATCTGCTTGCATGGCAACGTGTTAAGGTCCTGACAGCCGCTCCAGTGCATCACGGGCCTGCGGTGTCGAAGGTAGACGCGTACATTCCCAACACCCTGAATCCACCCGAAACCCTCCCGACCCACTACCACTAAGGCTTTAGATGCCCTAACAGTAACTGCGACGGCTGAGTTCCCAGCGATCCGCGCTCGCCCCCGGAGTCTCAACAGCTTCGCCTGGCGGCAGAGTCTTGATAATCTTTTTGGGGCCGCCTTCGAATCCCAGGACGGGACCCCTTTAAACCACACGCACTTTGATGTTCGGACACCACCTGCAGCAAAAGGCCTTCGTGGCGTTGAAATGCGCCGAGACCAGTTGTATGGCCTGTACCATCGGGCTTCAAAGCGTGCAAGGAAAATCTCCAGTTGAAGCTGTGTGAACGTACGTCGTGCAAATAAAGTTGCCAAGCGCCTGTCATCGTGATCATGACCGTGTGCTAGACGACTCACACTGACCGTTGTTGTCGTGTGACTTCACTACTCAACTCGCAGCAGCGGATTGTCTGGTACTGTCTAATTCCCACGGCTGCCGACACTATTGTCTATCACCGCCTTCCTCCCGAATGTCGCAGAGCTTTGGGAACCCTCGCCTTCAAGTGATAGTCCACGGCTGCGCGCAGTTGGCGCTCAGCGTCTTCCGCTACCAGGCATGCCTTAAGCCTTAGCTGGCCGATCGTTATCAATGCAGCAAGATTCTCGATAACGCGACGTACATAATGACGGTGACGCGGACGGACGACAACAACATTCAAGAGGAACAATGATCAGAATCAGAGCCAGAGAAACAGCAGCACGAGCTGCGAAACTACTGGGAGGGGATGAGCGCCGACATGAAAGGCCCCTCATCACCATCACCGCTCCAATCATCATCAACAACAACATTGCCATAGTTACTTAGTTGTCGCTTGTACATGCATCTGCCGACAATTTCAGCGGGCCTTCCTCATTCTTACTACCTGCTGGGCGGCCTGGGCTCCTATTCAACAACCACGCAGAGATGGATCCTGTGTTCGGTTGGACAGAGTTTCCTGTTCTGTGGCCATATTGTATAAAGTCTTCTGTCAGGCAGGGTCTTCGGTTCAATAGGCTGCTTTGGTGGATTGTGTTGCACGAGATAACCGTTGTGAAGAGATATGATTGAAAAGGGAGTGGCTTGGGTTTCCTTGTTATTGCTTGGCTTGGCTTCGCTGGTGAATACTGCGGCGACGAATCTGAATAAGATGATGCTGATGCTGATGTCGATGATGACCGAAGAGTAGAAATAGCAACAGTAGCAGTACAGCAGCAACGGAAGCGGTAGCAGTAGCAGTAGTAGCAGCAGCAGCGGTCACATTACTCGTGGTGGTGGTGCTGGTGATGGTTGCGGTGCCCAGCAAAATGCATCCAGACCGCATCTTGGCACTTCGTGAGCCCGCGTCAAGGACCCGGCATGCCGCGAGTGTGGTTTTGGGCCGCCTCCCATCGCCGGTAGAGGTCGGGGAGCTGCCGAGCAAGCCGCTCCTGGACAGCCACGAGGTACGAGTATGGCGCGGTCGTACTCACCTACGTTAAACTTGCAGTTTGACCACGCAGCTAAAACGTGCAACAAGAATCCTCTGAATTCTGCCTCGGCCAGAAGCGGACCCCGTCCTGCTCGGGCCAGAGCTCCCCCCAGTCAGCCTCCTGGCTTTCAGGCCCTCTTAGTGGGCACTGTAGGCTCGCGTAGGCTTCTTTTAGGGGGGCTACGGTCCAGGGCCAGTAAGGGCTTACATGAGTCTCTGAGGTATTTTTTCCTTCGGGTGTTCGTCAGTTTGGGAGTCTTCACCGCAACTGCATTCGAGTTCGAGACCTCTCCACAAAGTCACAGCCGCATCACCGCCTTGCAGATAGACTGCCAGTGATCCTGCCCAACCCCTAATCCTGCATATCCGAGGCATCGCTGTGGACTTGACGACTTGGAAAAATGCTCGGGTTGGCCACGACTGCCACGATTCCGAGCAGCTTCCGTGTTACTCCGTCTGGTTCCACAAAGGCAACAATGGCAGAAGTTCTGAAAACTCCAGTCCAACGACACGCGGCCTGGAACTTACAATAGAAACATCCTTGTGAGGAACGTGACCTTCGCTAACTGACATACTTATTTCAGTAATGCAAATCTTGCTGTTTTTGCTAGACCTCGCCTGGCCGAGCATGAGCACCGCAGCATGAGCAGGAGGATGAGAAAATAGTACAGCAAGCTGTGGCTCGCGCAGAGGGCGACCAATAAGTATAGCGAACTTTAGGAAAATACGTAACTAATCCTGCCAAAGCCATGTCGCGAGCTGCACATCACTGCCGCAGCACCGTACTGTGTATTTTTTACCACCACCCAACCTCCACTCACCCAACCACCCACCCATTCATTCGCGCATGATGATGCTGAATTACACCATTCCGCCCCTGCCTGTAGACTGCGGGGTAGACTCAAAGCTCCCTATGAAGTTCAATGAACCCTGTTGCAGCTCCCGGCATGGACTCCACCGGCCTCGTACCAGTTGGGAGAGGATGGTCCTGTGGTGGAGGCCACAAGAGGGGGGCCTCAGGCTCAGGCGCCATGGCAGGTGAGGCCCTTGGCCAAGTCCACTCTGGGTTTGTGGGCCTCGTTTCGTGCCCCACTCGCCGTCCTCGTACTGGATTGGCCATGTCTCCTGCCAAACCAGCGAGAGAGAGAGAGAGAGAGAGAGAGAGCGATAGAGATGGAGATGGAGATGGCGATGGAGACAGAGACAGAGATGGAGATTGAGAAAGAGAGAGAGAGAGAGAGAGAGAGAGAGAGAGGGAGCACCAAGCCTCGTGAATTCGTGGTGGCTTTGGCAAGCTTGTGGTGGGTGGCAGTGTTCTCGAAGGCGCGTCCTCTGGGTGAATGCTTTCTGCGGCAGCATCGATCGCCGGATCAGGCTTTCCAGGAACAGCCCGGTTGGAAAGGTCTTCTTCGGGCTCGGCGCTGTCCTCTTGCCGGGGCATTGATGCTGGCAGCTTTTTGTGGGTAGTGGATGCTTGTGTCATGCTGGTCGAGGTGCTGAAAGAGGTCGTGGTTGTCGGACTGGTTGAAGGCTCTGCACTCACTTCCGGCGTACTGCCGAGATCCGGTTCTGCCGGAAAGCCATCTACATGACCGGGCAGTGAGCTTCTATGCTTGTGACAAGGAGTCTTTCTAGCATCTTGCCGACCCTTGTGGAAGCTCTCATCGGAGATGTCAGGGCTAAAGCCGGTGGAAGCCTCAGGCTTGTGCGCCCGCAAGAGATGCACTTGTATCAGTTTCTCCACGCCGGAGTCTGTCTCATTCGGGGGTCGCGGAGTCTCAACCACCTGCGCCCGCTCTGCCGCGTCTCTCGCGTTGTCTCGAGATGCCTTTGCAGAGCCGTCGGGCTCGGACCTGCCAGGGCCAGAGCAACCAGCCGCTTGTTTGCACGGACGTCCCGGGCGCCTGTTTCTCGGGGTACCTGGCCCACCGTTGTCTGACTGCCGGCGCTCCCGGCGCCTCGTTGCCTTTGCTGCTTTGCGGCGCAGGGGTTCTACTGATCGGATGACAGAGCATGTCCAACCTAATCCAGGCCGCATGCACCACTTCGTTAAGATGCGTGAGCTCTTCCAACGCCTTCTGGTAGCCATGCTCCTAGAGCTCCAAGGTGTCTGCACGGAGCGTGTGCGATCCCAATATGGCCTTCTCCAGAACATCCTTGCTAGCCAGAGCCTTCCACGAAACATATTGTGCAAATCAGGAAACTGAAGATCTCAAACAGCCAGGATGAGAGGATCCAATGCATGCTGTCGAGTCGGAAGTTTACAGCTTCCAGTCAGTGGCACCCACATGACACAAAGCCACCGAAAAGCTCAAGGAGCCTCGATGCCTGGCACCTGAAGCCTGAGACCTGAAAGCCAGGTCAAGCCACCCACCTCAAGCGCCCGCGTGGCATTCAGCGCACGCCGGCCTTGCACGGCCTCCTGACTTGCGGGGCGGCGGTCATAATGCGAACAAGAATGCGATCAAGACCAAGGATAGCATTGCTACTGGTAACCTGAAGAGGAGCAGTACACCGAACGTGACTAGTGATAGCGACCTACAGAGACGGCTGTAGTCAGAGCCATCGGTGCGAGCAAGAACCACAACCCACGGTACAAGAACAGAGACAAGCACAACAACGACGACGACGACGACGACCAACAACCGCCACCATCAAAACCACTACCACCACGACCACCACCAAGAAGAAGAAGAAGAAGCGCCAGCAGCACCACCAAAACGAGCAGCACCACCAGCAGCACCAGCACCAGCACCAACACCACCACCACCACTACCAGCAGCAGCAGCAGCACCACCACCACCACCACCACCACCCACACCCACCACACTCCCACCACCGCCACCACCACCACCACCACCACCACCACCACCACCACCATCACCTCCACCATCACCCCCACCCCCACCAAAGCAGCCGCTAAAGCAACTGCATCCTCTGCCCCCGAGGCTGTTGATGACGACCACCATCGTCATTGTGATATCGACGGCACATGATTCAAGTATTATTAGACAGACAGATTTGTGGCCTCCCGGATCCTGGAGACATGCACGTGCATCGTGTCGAGGAGCCTGCATCTCGCTCACTGCATCGCATGTGGTGTCATCCGACAGACGTACTGAAAAGCCTGAACAATCCTAGTGTCCTCATGAACGCCCTTCCCCAATGATACAGCAATGTACATTTCGCGCATGGAACACGTGACACGGCCTGCTGAACCGCACAGCGACTCCCGAGCACAGCAGCTATTCGGGAGGATGTCTCTGAGCACCTGCCTTTCCATGTCTTCTTTCTCCTCGGCCATGCTGCGAGCCTCACGTGACCGAACAGGCACAGGTATGATTTTGTGCAAAGATCCCAAACACAAGTATTTGGCGTTTTGACGTGAATGTAGCGCAGCCATACGGCTGCATCTGAACGGTCGTAATCTTCCCTGTTCCCTCTCTACGAATGTGTACTAGCACCTACACCTCTGCGCTGTTCGGGTCCCTCCTCCTCGTGCAGTTGTTGCAAGCGCCGGCGCAGACGGTGACGTTCGCCACAGCTGTGAGCACCGCCTCCAGAAATCGCGAGCCGCTCGTGGGAAATCCACCAGGTTAGATGATTGCTATTCTTGAGGCCTCCGGCTCAACTCGATACAGGGCATCGAATCGTGGAAGCAGCTCTCAAAACTCAGATGCCGGCTGCCTGCATGTGCACTGCCCTCGCTTCTGGACTGCCTTCGCAGGAATGGCCATCAGACTCTGCGGTCGTTGTCACAACTATGACTCGTGGCAATCTGCCATCTCATCATCATGTTCCTCCCGATTGTGGCACTTCACACTACTGGCTCGTCAGTCCTGCCCGCTTCGGCAGTGACACTCCAAGCCCGGCCTCACTGCGTCCCCCAAGGCCATGGTCCTGCAGCTAAGCGGCTTTAACGTTTATAAGTCTTCTCAACTTGGTAGAATTTAGGGTGTAGATTGAAGCTCCGACTTCAGGGACCAAGTCTGCAGCCAGCTTTCGACAGCCTCCGCACTTAAGAACTTCCTGGCAAGCCATCCACCACGATCCTTGGCCCCCAGGCCCCAAAGACCCCTAGCGTAAAGCCTCAAGCCAATGAATCCGCAACTGTGGTCCTGTTCTCTGCCAGGGCCAGCCGCTCGGAAGCTTCGAGCACCTGAGAGGCAAGAGCAGTCATAACCATCATCACGAAAATAGAGGAACTCCAAAGAGAAATCTTCGTCTGTGCCGCTAAGAGTTGAACAGAAATGAAAACAACTTCTCGACATGTCAGTTTCCCATTGTACGACGATAGCTTCTTCTGTTAGGCCACGGCTAGCTCACATGGCAATGCTGAATGGATGGGCTATCGCAAGCGAAAGCCAAACTCGATGGTGCAGAAAGTTTTCCGCTGTCGTACGTGCCATCACACCTCGCCTCCTAAGGGATTCTCCACGGCTTGGACATCAAGACGTTGCTACAGCAACCATAACCAGAATCAGAATCACCACGCGATTCAGCGGAGACGGCCAATGACGGCCACCTTGGACAGATCCGCCAGCAAGTGGTCTGCAGCGCACTCGAGCTGAACAGCCTCGAGATGGTGGTGTCTGGTGCTCGATGACGGCTCAGTACGTCCCTTTACAACGCAGACGAACGGCAGCAGTAGCATGAGCAACAGATAAAAGGAGATCTATGACCGGCTGTCGATGCAGGCATCGCGGCCTCAGCTCGAATCTCTGTGAGGTTTTGCGTGGCATTGAGCTCGACGATGGTGTCTCGACCCTTGCGACAGAGAATCTCGACACCCAGCAACTTCTGGCTGCTTTGGCAACTTTGAGTGGTGTGCAAGGCATCCAAACTTCAGCAGAGCCGTGGTACCTCTGAAGATCTTGGCCTGAGGATCCCTCGACGAAGCTCGAAGCTCGAAACTCTCATGCTCCAAAGCAAGAAGGCCCAGAGCCCTTCCTTTAGCCCCTTCGGCCTTTAGGTCAGCCAGCTGGGACTCCAAGAGCCGAAGGACAGACAGCGGCCCTGACAGAATGGACAGGTGCCGCCTGCTTTGAAGCAACTTCCACCACCATACGAGACTAATGACTAATCCTCCCGGCGCTACTCATCAGCATCAGCAGAACCATCATGAATCATGACGCTTCTTCTCTACTGTTGCTGGTTTCTTTATGACTTCTGACTGCAAGCATCAAGAACCATCTGTGAAGTCAGACATGTGGCCGATCGCGCCTGAAAGGTTCGAAAAGCTGGAGCCTTCCGCCACTTGTCTAGCCTGCACGAAGCAGAGCCCAAGCAGCGGAATGAGTTCAAGTCGAGCTCCGATCCCCTGGGATGATCGCCTGGCTCCGGACCTCAAGCACGAGCGCTTGCTCCGTGAAGTGCACGCGCAAGGCATCGACCTGTTTCTGGACGGGATGCAGAGGTTGGGGGGGAGATCATCACGGCATCGGGGCTTATGCTGACATTATCGATTCGCATGTTTCCCCGACACGCTGCGAGACTTCCCCACGAACCTCGACCTGCTGCCCGAGGCCCACGTGCAAGCACAGCGCCAAGGCCTGGCCGGGAACTAGTGATCGCCCCCGATTGCCAGTACCACAACCTGAATGGATCGAGTGCCACGTTTCCTCTAGAAGACTCGTCGAGTCTGTCCATCTCTGCAGCTACCTCACATCCCAAAGCCTGCGCCCAGAGCATCACGCTGTGGCCGGGGACAACCTAAACACAGAGCAAAGAATGGGAAGTCTGTTGGCAGAATCTGTTGGAATTTTCACTACAGGCTCTCACTGCTTCGGACAATCGTGATGTTTTCTCAGCTCGCAGCCAGACAGCATCTCATTGTTCGGGCCCATGGGCAAGACCGACACGTTTACAGAGGATCCAGTGCTATTTGGGTTGAGAGTCCTTGGCATGGAGTTTTGTCTCAGGTTTTTGCTCAATCTTATCTGGGACCCCGAGGACAGAACTTCAGAGAGAACACTGTGCCATTGCCATGAGATTCAATACTTCCGATCTCAGATCGCTTGGCCGAGACTGTTGCAGCGCTGCTTCCATGTTGACGTTAAGCAGGCAAGGGGTTTCGCCTGCGTCTTGAGCAAAACCCCAAACAGCGTATAGATGTGCCATGCACACGTGGCATACATTGGAGCGTCCACCGCCTGGCCGCATCCCCTCCAACCCTCCACGAGTGCACTTGGCAAGCTTTTCCTTGCCGCAGGGCGGGAAAGCGATGTCAAAGACATTAATCTAGCAGGCTTCGGAAAGCCCACAGCCTACGGAAAACTAGATGGGCTCTGGCCTTTGACAGTTGCGTCCCCGTAGAAATCACCTTTTGCTGGCCACAGCCCAGCCCACCGGGAAGCCCAGGTGGGCCAGCATTAGCTCAGGGAGGTCGGTCCTCAGCCTGATCAGTGCAGAGCGACAAGTATGGCAGCTGAAAAGTTCACCCAAGCATCCTTAAACGAGAAGGGCGCTATCGTAGCTCATGGTTCAGGCAAGCCACCTGCGTCAAGTCGACTTCCTCCTCCGACGGAAGAGCCGCAACAGGACTTGATCGGGAGTGCGGCTTCCAGGTCTCGAGGCATACATGATATACCATAATATAATGTATAAATATATATATATATATATAAAGAGAGAGAGAGAGAGACAGCGCTATAGCTATAGCTATGTGTATATAAACGCAGTTTTGCTTTGTTTTTCGAAAAAGGGACGATGTGGTCCATGTGTCCGCGCATGAATAGTTGTTTTAAGTACAGACACATATGTATATTTTTGGTCAGGCGTCTGGCGTTCCCGGCCCCCCCCCCCAATGTGTGGATTGTTATGTAGTGCCGCACTGCACACGGGAAGGGTGTGCACATGACGGCATGTGTATGCGTGCAGGACGGCATGTGCAAGGAGCCATGTATGTCGGGGGGGCCGGCGAGTGCATGCATGCTAGACAAACGTGTGCACTGTGTAGGGGTGGCATTCGGCACACGAGGTCACATGCTTACTATATTGTGCTACATTATGTTAAATGTACATGATGTCTAATATCTTTTGTCTTACATATGATCTGTCATATGCGGGGCATGAAACAGCATACACTGGATCTTATATCTTGCATCTTGCGTAGTTTTGTTGCATATTGTCTGTTCTTCCTTCTTCGAATCTGTTATCTGCTCTGTACCATGTATTAGCCATTATTCGCTACCCATGATCTATTGTGTACTAGACATCTGGTTTTAGTCCACAGAAACCTATGTTCCATATACATATAGTCGATCAGTATGGTATACTCTGCTCCTCGGACATCGTCTCGTTTGTGCTGCTGGCCTCGCAACAGGAATGACAATGCTTCGTTTTGGGAATCTAGAATAGCAAGCAACAAGAATTACAATGCCTCGCTTTGGGCATCTAGAGTATCAAGCAACAGGAATTACACTGCTTCGTTTTGGGAATCTAGAATATCAAGCAACAGGAATTGCAATGCTTCGTTTTGGGAATCTAGAATATCAAGCAACAAGAATTACAATGCTTCGTTTTGGGAATATAACCTGTCAAACATATACTGCTTAACACATATACGGCAAATAGATTATATACCTTTGGGATATTACTAAATATCTGCGTTAGCCTTACTGATACTCGAATTTCCGGACAAGCTTGCTGCTGTGCGTTCAAGCAATGACGAGGTATTTGCGCCAGCGGCTTTCGCACGCTAAGTTGACCTGCAGAGACGCCGAATGTGAGATGGAGTTTCACTTCCCAAATTCGTACTCGTAATTCCTGGCTGACATTGAGGATGTTGCCGCTTGCATGAATATTATGAAGACACGCTGCATTTCAAGACGATTGCTCGGCCCGGTCAAGATTCAAGGCACAGCTCGAGCCAATGGTTTAACGTTGAGTTTAGCAAGACCCCAAAGAAATAGATCATCACAAACATGATCATCGGCAGAATTCATGTGTCTCTGCGTCCTATTTTCGGACTCCTTCTGCGGGTTTTGCTCGGGAAAGTGGATCCAGTGTGGCTGCGAAGCAGTTACAACCTTAAACCCTAAAGCCCTCACCCCAATGCAGCTGCTGATCTGAATCCCAGACGAAGCTTCCTTGAATCAAACAGTGGCTGCAGAGCCCTAGGGCTAGCCTCTTGTATGTAGGAAACGATAGCGATGGCTTGGCTATTACGGGATGTGTGCGCCAACAGGAGTCTGTGGGTTGTCGCCTCCTGCGTCATGTTTGTGATGGTCTGGATTGTTGCCAGCGTTCTGCTCATACTCATGGTCGTGCTCATCATGATTATTCTTGCGACGACAAGGGTAAGGAATGTCTATAAGCGAGCCCAGCTGCGACTGAAACAAACACCTCTAGATCGCCATGCAAACCCCGAAAACCTTTCCCTTGGCATTTGACCCTTCGTTCTTCGGCGTGGGACCACTCCCACTTACAGACCCCAGCGCGCCGCTTCTTCGCGAAGCGCGAGGCGTGTTTGGAGCCTCGGAAGCTCAGCATTGCAGAGCTCATATCAAAGAGTTCTTGGACTAAGTGCTTGAATCGGCTTTTTGGGACAACTTTGTGTCACTGTTCGGAAGAGAGAATTCCAAGCCTGTGATACTGCAGAACTACCTTGCAAGCTTCGTCTCCTAAAGGCCACCTATCATCACCTATCGACGGCTGTCATCTTTGCTTTTAGGCGCAACTGCTCGTCCCCAAGGCGGCGATGCGACTACGACTGCCACCGGCACCCCACCGAATGTGACTCTTGCAAGGGATTGCAATCTGTCGATGCCCAGGTGTAGCATGACTCACTAAGTAAGCGGGCATGAAATCTGGGCTTTCCCCACCTGCAAAAGTCACAACCGCAGCACTAGGAGGCCAACATCAGCAGCATCAACGCACCCGCGGTTCTGAGCCCAAAAAGAAATGCAAAACAGTCCCGACTCCGAGCTGGGGTCTGCTGTGGCACGACGGCATCGTTGTCGCTCGTCATGTCGACCTGGCAATCGCGGCTTCCTGCTTTGTCTTGGCGGGCACGTGGGCTGCTTTGGCTTCCGCAATGCAGCTCTCGAGTCCGAGGCCCTGAGGCGCTTAGAAGGCCGTAAAGGCACGCGCCTCCTCAGCTTGAAAGGGCTGATTCGGCCGCCAGCGTTGCACCTGGGCCAGGGCTTCAACACTTGTTTTGCATTTTTGGTTTGCAGTCAACATAATTTGGACAAGCTTTAATTTCTCGCAAACGGCTCTGCCCACTCAGCCGCCAGCCACTGATTGCCTCAGCTAAACACGGGCTTATCGGAATGCAGCTTTCCAACCTGAGTGCTCTTGCTCACAGCAGATTGGACAGCCCAGGGCTTAGTGTCGAAGTATCAGGCCTAACCAATGAAGCTTCACGACAAGGACAGGCACAATGCTGCCGGGCAGAAAAGCAATCTTAAGTAGCATCATCATTTCAAGCTGCACGGCTGGATCCATGGTAGAAATCCGGGATGCAGCTCCTGTACGGAATGCACATCACGGCATCTCCCTTGCCTCTGAAACGCGCAAAGAAGCGAGCGGTCCTGTCGCGCTCCTCGAGGGTCGCTCCCGAGACATTGGTACTGGGGACGTCTCCTTCAGCATGAATGCAAGCAAAGCTCGACCAGACCCCCCAAGCAGATAAAGAGTAAGCCGTCATGGTCTGGAAGCTGGGGGTCTCAAACCAAAGCGCCCTGGGCCCGAGTCCTGGGAGCTCATGACAAGCAGGTTGTCCAGAGAGGCACTCCGAGATCGATGCCTCGCCTGCAGGCCGCAGCTTCGACGAACCAACAGAGACTAAGTCCCACCGCTGGGGTTTAGCAATCTTCTAAAATTCATCTCATCTACTAAGTAGAGTCTTACTCACACCCCCCGAAAGCCTTGCAGGCTTCCCAACGAACTTCAGCCACATGCAGCCTCGTCGAGCTCCTGCTGCAGGAGGCGTCCCGAGCTTTGCTCCTCCTCACGAGTCCCGGGACGTCAAGACGACCACAACCACAATCACGTCCACAGCCGCATGCCGAGCATTCTTTTCACTGCCTGAAGAGCTGCTCGCAGACCTGAGCCGGATCACGGGGACATATTGTGTCAGGATTCTAGCTCGAGGAAAAAAGCCTGCTGGAAAACTGCAACGCCTACATCACTACTTAGAAAAGGAAGGATTTGTCACAGTCGATGCCACTCGAAGGCTAGATTCTGGAAGCTGGAGGCTCGGCTTGCCGAATTTCTCTGCCGGAATCGTAGTTCAAACCTCTTCTTCGAACTAGTCATGGAAAACTCCCAAACATCTGAGTCTGAGCATGCGGCTGCTCTCTGCATTGCGTCGTTCCCGCAGGGACGATCTGGGAGGCAAGTTGTCTCCAAGACAACAGTGCGCTTGTCTTGCTTCATCCTTGATTTCGCAAACAAGCTTCAGGATCCCACCGCAGATGTTCGACGTCGGACTTGAACATGTCACGCTCTTTCTCCAGGGCCGCCTCATGCATCTGAATGCAGACATCGTGGCACAACAAGAGCCCAATTCCACGTGAGGTTCGGGCGACACGTTCATCCGCCTCCTGCAGCTGGGTCTGCACCTCTGGATGCATCCGGGAAGTGAGCCAGACCCAAGCAGACAGGGATCGACTATAAAAGATCGGGGTGGGCATGCCTCCAAATAAAGGGTATGGTGTGATAAGTCTGTACGCGTGGATCTTCCGTGATTTAGACACGTGTGTATGTCTGTATGCATGTGTGTATGTATCTGTATACGTAAGCATATATATATATATGTATGTATGTATGTATGTATGTATTTATGTATGTCTGTCTGTCTGTCTGTCTGTATGTATGTGTGTCTGTCTGTCTGTCTGTCTGTCTGTCTGTCTGTCTGTCTGTCTGTATGTATGTATGTATGTATGTAAGGTGCGGAGCAGCTTCAGTGGAGAGTGGCTTTCTTGAGGCAAAGGGCGCTTACATGGGTGCCAGCACCGGCCCGACCAAGGGTAGATGTCGTCTTCAGTTAGTTGAAGATGCTCTCCATGACGAATTCCCGTGCTCAGTGTGTGGTCATTACTATCCCACCGAGGCGGCACGGCATCATTTCGGGTCTCATCTCAGCAAAGAGGAACAGCTATGGCACATCAATGAGAACCGGAGGTCTTTGCGACAAGAGGTGATGTTTCATGCCCTTGACGGGATGCCCCAAATGCAACATGTTCGACACCATTTCACTACCTGGCATGCTTTCTACTACCATGTGAACACTCGCAGCTGCCAAGAACTCCGAGATCTTTATGCAGAGAATCCGATTGACTGGCTACAGACCCTTAAGAGCGAAGACTTAATTGATAATTCCGACCTCATACAATTTCCTGCCTGCTGCACTTGGAGGGATCTTGCCCTCTAGTAAAGGCTCAGCACCATCACTGTCCAGAATGTCACCACTGGGCGATGCTGCAGCGACTCGAATCAGTCTCATAGACAAGTGTCAAAGCCTGATCATGGCAAGTGACTTGGGACTCCAGAACCCATGCCAGGTTTTCGGTGTCTCGCATCAGAGGAAATCAGCCCGTTTGAAGTCATGTGTTGGCATCTTCAATGGAGTGTTTCTCTATCATCGCATTGCTAGGGGGAGAGTACTAAAGGATCTTAGTGATGGACGCAGTGATGGAAGACCCAAGCCAGGACCGCCTGAAGGAGGCTACCGGCGAGTTGGAGATGATCAAGTCTTTGGCCGCGGGGCGGCCTCAGCATCGGAGTGGAGGAGCGGGCCGCGGATCGCCAACCGAAGACCAATGCAAGGGCAAAGGCGCAGAGCCAGGGAACTTCGGCAACTCTTGGTCATGATCAACCCTCAGGCCAAAGGCCACGAGAAGAATCAGGCACAGAACGCGGGGACGCAGAGTTCCTACGAGGTCGTGGGGAACAGTCAGGAGGGGCGGGCCACCATCACCCTTCGCCACGAGGCTCACATGTGCATCCAGAGGCAGGAATCGGCCTTCGTGGTGTTCCTCAAGACTGGTAGCCGGCTGTTTGTCCAGATCCTGGACGTAGCCGCACGAGAGAACAAAAATGCATGAATTGCAAAAATTGAAAACGTGTCAGCTAAAAGATGCAGCAGCAAACACGGGGGGGATCAAGGGGGGAGCCAGAGGCAAACCAAGTCAACAGAAGGGGAAAGCACGACTATCCAGTAGCAAAAGGGGAACATATTACGAACTGCCAGCGAGCAAGCCGTCACTAGACCATGGCGCGCAGCAGTTAGCATTGGATGACAGAAGTGCTGCAGTGTGTCAGCGGCCCGAAAGACCTGATATAAGGCATAGCGTAGCTTTTCGATACATAAACCCTTCGGCGTAAAATATCACGACACTCAGCAGAAGAAGAGCACAAGTGGTCGCAGACTAGTAAATCCCTATAGCAGGCGATATGACTTCGGAATGCAAGCCAAATGTAGACTACCTGTAGGCATAGCATGATTTTTTCGACACCTAAACCACGCATCATACAGGGAGACACGCAGCAAGACTGCAAAGAGCAGAGCACTAGCAACTGTAGCCAATACAGTGGCACCCTAACTCGTGACTAACGTGCACCAGAAAGTAGATTGACAGGACAGCAAACAAACGAAGACGCCGATGACAGTGACGACAACGAAGACAACGACAACGACGGCGACGACGACGTTAATCCCGCGGGACGGCACCCGTTTGCGGGCTGGGCCGGACGGCACCGGCACCAGACAGTAAACGGCAGTCGGACGGCACCGACTACCGCAAAAACAGTCGCAAACCCAGGCGAAATCCCGGCCCTCAATCTCCAGTCCGCTGCTGTTTCCCATCCCGCACTGACCCTGCGCGGTGCTCATTCTCGCGTTTCGGTGATCTCCGTGGCCCAGTCTTGCCCTTGCCCACACCCTTATTGGGGAGGTGTTCAAGCACTCTTTTGTGCGCCCCACCAGGAAGATAACGGGCCGGCCGAGCCCCCAGATCCTTTCCCGGTCCCATATGCCCACGGATAGCTTCCGATAGCCAAGCATCCTTGACCTGCTGGCTGTCCTCCGAACCACGGAAAGTGATGATGATAGGCCAGGGCTTGTTGTCGAAGGGCTCCCCATGATTCGCCGCTTCAACGGAGACCCCCCCCCGGTGATCTTTTCAAGGATGCCAGTAATTTCATCGCCACCAGCACCGGTGGGCCCATTAGCCACCGTACCCACCAGCCACTCGGAGAAAGCATCGTAAACCTGGAGTTTCCAAGGCTTGGGTTTTGTAACAGGCCTTTGGCTTGGCTCCAAGGCCGTTGTCCTCCTCCATTCAGACCATTTCCGAGCGATCCTTTCCTTGAGGTCCCCGTTGACAAAGAATACAAGCCCCTTTCCGGCGGCATAGCTGCCGAAGCGAAACGCTGATGTACTGGCGAGATGGGCTGTATCTGTTGCAAGGGTCTCCACAGCCCTGATGCGGTCTCGGAGATCTTCGTCATCATGAACATCACGCTCGCGACCACGATCCCTGTCACGACGATCCCGGTCACCAGGTTTGTCACGCGGCATGTCGAACGAGACATACACGGAAGGACACTACAAGACAGAGCCAAAAACTCACTGGACATGTGCGCTCAAACTATGGACAACAAACTCCCTAACGGACGTGAACGTGTTCTGCGACCCCTGTTGCAAGCAGTGCCGGCAGGTGATAGGCAAATCCTCAGCATTGATTTTATGCGCTGCAGCTAGATGTAGTCTGATCGTATCTCGGCCAGGAAAGAAGCCTTGACAGCACGGGCACACGAACGGCGACGCACCGGGCTCGTGTAATCTGAGATGTTGCGGCATAGCACTTTCGCGTTCGAACGAACGGCAACAGTGTGGGCAGTCCCAACCTTTTTCCCTGTACGTGCCTTGTGTATGTTATGTTTAAGGACCACATGATGCGCAAGTCCCGATTTCGTGGTGTAGCTACGCGTATACAGCCCGGAAACTGGCAAGCAAATTGCGCTCCCACCCGATTCTCGTGCACAGGTGGCGTCCAATACTTAGTTCGCATGCGACTTACCGGTTCCCTATTCTCAGCCACCTCAGCAACCCGTGTAGGAAACGCTCCGTACGACGCTGCTTGCGCCGTAGCCGACGACGGATGGGCAACAACGGCGGCAAAATTTCTCGGATAGCTGTTATCTGTGGAAATAGATGAGAACCATCAGTGGCGAGTTTGTGGGCAGTCAACCAGTCGAAGTAGACCTAAATCCAGTTCATGAGTTATGGCGGGCTCCCACAATGGCTCATCCATCACTCGGGTGAAAACATCATCGAAATCTTCCAACAACCACTCCTCACCAAATTGTGCGAAGTGATATGGGCGCATGAGTTTCCTCAAGTTTAAAAAACCCGGACGCCTCGGTCGCTTGTGCCTTGATCCATTCCTCCGCCCTACGCACCGCCGCCGCGAAACTTTTATCCGGATGCTCCGTGAGCTTTTTCAGGAGTTTACTTAGCTCCGCTTCCCGGTTTGGTATATCAGCATTTTGCCGTGGGTGCGCAGGTCGATACCACAAGGCAACTTTCATTGTAGCCAAACGCCAGTCGTAACCATTATTCCTATTGGTCCTATTGGCAAATTGTGTCCAAAGCGCAAGAGGTATCTCTGCAACACGCATAGCTTCCACCAAAGTCTGACGATACCACTTGCCCTTGAGCTTACCCGGGAGGCGCTGTGTGCCAACTGATTCAGGGAGAAACGCACAAATAATCTGTTTAGGCAAGCGATCTTGTGGCACTCGGGCAACATGTCCAATCCAGCGAAGCTGGTGTTGTGTAGTCAGCGCAATTATATCCGGAGCGCCTAACCAAGCTCTCAGTGTTTCATTACTCAAGTGCCAGTTTTGCTGTTGCCAACGTGTGACCCGGCTGATGACGCGCTGACAGGTCATATAAAACAAGCGTAATTTGTGTTGAGCGGTAAAAGTAGTCGTCCATGTCTCGCAACCGTACAACAAGACGGACAGCACACAAGCACGAAATATCAGCATTTTAACCTCGAACGATAGTTCCTGAACATACCACACTGTAGAAGCTAACTTCCAAAACGCCTTTCTGGCCTGCTCGGTTCTGTGCATTATATCCGGGGTGCAATCCCCATCAAATTTGATTTGGCATCCAAGATATTCAAATATTTCAACAAACTCAATTTTATCCTTGTCTTGCTGCGGTAGGACCGGCATCGGTGGCTGTTTGGCCTGGGTCGTGCACATAGCCTCCGTCTTTTCGACAGATAATGTCAAGCCCCAGCTACTAATATAAACCTGGAACTCTTGAGTAAGACGCTGCAGCATCCCGTAACAGTCCCCAAGAAGACCCAGATCATCTGCATAACCTATATCCGAGACGTGGCAAGTCTCATGATATCTATCATGTTGGGCCCCGTGTAAAACGCCATCCACACGGGTATGCCAGTCCAGTCGTCGACCCTCCAGTAGTCGCCATTTTCCCATAACCGCACCAAAGAAGATATTAAACAGTAACGGTGCAACGCAACATCCCTGGCTAAGTCCAGTTGTTAAGGCCAAAGATTCAGTTAGGCAGCCTTCTGCGAAC